AGACATAATACCGTTCGCCAATTGATCACAAATGGTATTATTTCCATTGACTACGTAAAGTCTAAGGAAAATTTGGTTGATCCTTTTACTAAAGGATTGAATAGAGATCAACTGAGAATACTGCTAGAGGGAATGGGATTAAAAATCTACAATGAAAAGAATGATCATAGTGAGAACCCTACCTTGTTGAATGGAGATCCCATAAACTTGGTTCAAGGGGAAAACTAAACTATGAAAATTCAGCTGAGCACTTGGAACATTAGAGTGTCCAAATATATTCCCTAAAAGCAATCCAAGTGCAAGATTACCTGTTGATTGTGGTGAGGGTAAGTCATCTGGACTTTTAATGAATCCCTAACCTTTTAAAGATAGAGTAATACAGTATACTCTTGATAGGGAAGTCACCTATATAAGTGTGAAGTGAGTGCTGCTTCAATTGTAAACACTTATGAATACAAAGTGTTGTCCATGGCCAAAATGGACACAACAATAGAACGGAATGAAGTTAAGGCTCTATTGTGTGAATGTCATTGTTTTGGTGTACACTATGGAGGAATAGTTCAAGGCACTATGTCCACTAAGCCGCCAGTACATCCGATGATGTTTACTAAGAAAGGTTCAAAGCCACAAGCTGCCTTTTCTGATGCAATAGAGTCTTGTGAGGATTGAGCACAAGAGTTTGCATACATGCATATATTTGATTTCCACTCATGTGGGGGATTGTTAGAAAAATCAATTATAAAACTTGGGTTTGACCCGGTTTTGACTGAATTTTTTATGGCTAAATATTTAAAAATGAGTTGAATAAAATATTGTAGAAAAATTCTACGTTCCGAGTAGATACTCGTGGTATATTTGTTTTCTCAAAACTAATTTTCGGTGAGTGAGAAATAAATTGTTAAAGTTAACCATAAAAGGGCACGTAAAACGTTGGTTGTGGGATTTGAAGGGTCAAGAGTCATTCCCACATTGGACTCTTAAATGAGATTAACTCTCTTTATTATAATAAGGAGAGTTGGAGAGGGTACAACAAGCACAAAGCTATGCCCCAAGTGTTGGTGTTGTTTTCGGCCACATGCCTGCCGGCCAGCCGGCCGGCCGGCTGGGGCTCGGGCTCAGACTTGGGCTCGGGCCTGGGCCTTGGTTCTTGGTTCTTGGTTCTTGGCAATTGGACATTGGGCTGGACATGGGCGGCCTTGGGCGGTTGGGCTTGGGCCTAATCACAATATATCTTTTTGCTGCAAATTTATTTGCAATTTTAGGCCCAAATGAAAATTCCAATTTTGATTTGGACTCGGATTTTGACCCAATCCAAGTGAGACCTTTCCATGTACAATGAATCTGGCCACATGAAATTTCATGTGAAATGTAACACCTAACCTTTCATGTGGAGTGTTAATGGTGTTGATTACCAGTTAATGGTGATAACTCCTGGTTAATGGTGAATTAACAACCTAAAAACGTTTTTGCCTCATTATCTCTGCCTTAAGTGGCAGATGTGACTGTTGGTTTCCATCAATATGTGGAAGTCCTATAAATAGGACTTCGAGTTGCAGAGAAAAGACACAACATTTCTCATGCATTCTGAATACTCTCAAAGCCTCACGCATCATATCAAAGTGCTCTATTCTCGACTTTATTCCTGTTCGCGGGGACTCTGAAGGCTGGTGTGCTACAGCTTCTGAGTGTATAGCCGTTGTATCTTTGGGGGCATTACGCACTGACCCGTCAGCACTATACGGGGCGTATTTGTCTTGCGGAAATATTTCAATCGCCTCAGCTTTAATCTGTCCGCATTCGAGTTGTAATTTATATTTCTGTTTTAGTTCATATTGTAAGAACTGAACTCTTTATTCAGTTCATAGGTTCCCGTTGTAATCAAAACACAATACTTTGTGTAACATCTTTAACGAATGCTTCTAAAAATCTCAAGTTAACATCACCACGGTGCAAAAGGATATTGTCAGTGCAATTGCTTTTGAATGCCTAGACGTGACCATGAAAGGTGTTCGTAATAATTTCTTTTCAATTTTTGTTGATGAATGTCGAGACATTTCAGTTAAGGAGCAAATGTCGGTTGTGATTCGTTACATGAAGGATGGTCATGTTTTCGAATATATAGTTGGTGTCCAACATATTTCTAGTAACACTTCTCTCTCGCTTAACGCAGCAATTGACCAATTATTCTCAACACACAACTTGAGTATATCTAGTTCTAGTTTGAGAGGTCAAGGGTACAATGAAGCTAGTAACATGCAAGATGACTACAATGGCCTAAAAGCACTTATTTTGGAAGAAAACCCCAATGCCTATTATATTCACTGTTTTGCGCATAAATTGCAATTAGCTCTTGTAGCTACAGCCCAGGAATATCCAAAATTGATACTTTCCTCACGACAACACTGAAATTGGTTAATGTTGTTGGTGGATCGGCTAAACGAGCCAACCTTATTCGAGAGAGCCAAAGGATAAAAGTTATTGAATCACTCAGTGTTGGTGAATTATCAATTGGTCGAGGTCTTAATCAAGAAACATCTCTTCGGCGTCCAGGTGATACGCGTTAGGGATCTCACTAAAATTATTTGATTAACTTGATTATCATGTTTTCAACCATAGTTGAAGTTGTTGAAGTGATTGCTACAGACACCACAAGCACCGGAACTAGAGGTGACACTTCTATCTTATTTGAGTAGAAGCTAAAATTGAATTTGCATTTCATCTTCATCTCATGAATATTTTTTTGGGATTTCAAATGAATTTTCAAAATCATTACAATGCAAAGATCAAGACATTGTTAATGCCATGAGATTGGTGCATTTGTGTGAAGTTCAGCTCCAAATGATGAGGAGTGATGGATGGGATTCTTTTTTTTTTCTTTGGACTGTTTGTTCATTTTGCGAAGCTCATGAGATCATTATTCCCAATATGGATGAAAAGTTTATAACTCTTGGACGTTCACTGTGTGAGACAGTAACAAATTTGCATAATTATCGTATGGAATTCGTTTATGCTGTCATTGATATGTAACTTCAAGAGCTTAATGATCATTTTCTAAGGTAAATAGCGACTTGCTATTTTGTGTTGCATGCTTGTCTCCAAATAGCTCGTTTGATTCTTTTGACAAGGATAAGCTTCTTTGACTATGTGAGTATTATCCACTTGATTTTGATGTGACGGACATCTTTGAACTTGATCACTCTGACACGTATTCTTGACATGCGCATCTCTGAAGAATTTAAAGGATTACAAGGTACTAATGATTTACCAAAAAAAAAAACTAGTTGAGACTAAAAAGCATCAAGTGTACCCATTAATCTACAAGCTTCTCACATTTGCTTTAATTCTTCCTGTGGTGACGGCTACTGTCGAGAGATCATTTTCTGCTATGACTTGTGTGAAAAATCGTTTACGCAACCGGATTGGGGATCGATGGTTCAGTGATAGTCTAACTGCATTAGGGGTGAGCGTGGGTCGGTACGGTTTGGACATTGATAAATCTCCAGAACCGTACCAAACTTCGGAGATCCCAAAATTCGATCTTCGAAAACGTACCAAAAAGTCGGTTTGGTTCTGTTCGGAGATTTTTATTTATCGGTTCGGTTCTGTTCGATATTCGGGATTATTGGGACGGTTCGGTTTGGTATGGTTTGGTTTGGATCTTCGGAGATTTTTTATTTTTTTAAAATTATTTTAGAATGACTACCTAGTTATATTTTAATTTTTATATGCTTTAAAATACAACATTCATCAATAATTCATCATATTGAAGGTTTTATTTTGAAATCAATTCTAGAAGTAACTCTAAATTTTAGTTTTTTGATATTTATATGCTTTAATAAAACCAACATTCATCAGTACTTCCTCACATTAAATATTTTATTTTGAAATCAACTTTATAAGTAA